GTCTATATAATGTAAATTCCTTAAAAAAATAGCTAAGTAGGTATTATTAATTATGAAATATTTATTATTTACTATATAATAAAAAATATTATTTTAATTATTTCAATTTGATGCCTAATTCGATCTCGGTTCCCTTAACCCCTAATCTTAACTAGTTTAATGATCAATCTAGTTTTTAGTACCTTAGTATTGTGGTACGTTGGCATTTGGTTGAGATTTTGGAAAAATATGCTACAACATAAAATTTTATGTTACATCAAAAACTACAGAACCCCTAATAGCAACAAAAGCTGTCATGGCAGATTTCCTGGCCGAACTTCTAGTGCACACTAAATCTTCATCTGACGTCTAATTGAGGTGATTTAGGTGTTTACAAAAAACTTTCTCCAAACTCTAGCTAATGGCACTATTTCACATTTAAATCATTTCTCAATCAAAAGTTAGATATCAAAAGGAAAACTCACACTTTTATGCTTTCAAAATATAATTAAGGTGTCCAAAACTCAATTTAAGTGCCAAAAGCACATATCAACCCTTAGATCACACTCAATAGACTATAGAGGACTCGTGCAATACACCACAACATTCAAATAACACCTATATCATATTTACAAGTCTCAATACCTTGATCACAAAAACATAAGGCGAAGCCAAAATATGTAATTTCACATCTAAATCACCATCATTCATAAAATATACTCACTTTTTACTTGCACAAGTATTTTAACCTTGCATAAATATCTCAACTAAAAAGATACCACATGTGCTAGGGCCCAAAATATACATTTCAATACCCAATATTCAATGGTACAAGTATAACAAAATATGAACATCCTATTTGGCAATATCAATTAATTACACAAATGCAACTAAAATTATGAGAGGCTTATAGTAGGAAATTGAGTTTCCAAGCCTTTGGTGCTTTCCCTTTATCTTGCTCGGAACTAGTGCATGTAAAATGTTAAATAGAGAGGTGAGTACAACTACTCAATAATTAAGTTTCACCTAATCTATAGTTACATGTCAATCGAAAGCGGATGCAATTAGTAATAAATACACATATAAAGCATGCATGACAATGTATATCCTCGGCCATAACAATAACAACCATATGATTGGGCTTCAAACACATAATTATATATATATATATATATATATCAATAATGCACAATCTGGGGTCACAATAATACTAACCATGCACCCCTAAACTGCACTGAACCACAATACTAACAATTATATGATCGAGACTAAATGTATGATCATACACCAACCATATACCCTCTTGTTACCTCCGACATAAAACCAGTGGTTACGTCTTGCACGGGCTAATCCAGCCTTCTACTTATAAGAAGCTACCAGGCCAAGGTCAACTCAATTACTTATGTAATTTAATTTCCCTTAATACCAACAACCATAGGGTTCGTACCCCTAATCTAGCCTCCTCATGAATCAGTAGAGACTAGTTAGGTTTAAGTCCCTTATAGAATAAGTGAGACAGTCTCGAATCAACTATGAGACAAGGTTTACCTCCTGATTCTAACAATCGATGTTAAGGCAAGCTCCCTATTCTAACAGTCGCTGTCAATACCATGTGGGTTTAATCAACTACTCTTTCTCTAGGTGAACTCTTGTTAATGATCATGCTGTGCACGTATATCACATATGTATATGCATTCTAATCAACCATTTATATCATGAATCCACATATTAGTCACACCCAACTCACTCCACACACCAACTAGTACATAATTTTATTTTCTCATTCATTATCACTACTAGCATGTATATGAATATACATATAATTTACAATAATAATACATCATTAACCATGCCAAATTTACATAGCGAGTTTAAAAATATTAAACATGTTTCAAATCAACCATTTTAACAAATAATTAATTAATATTTAACTATATAAATTAGGTTTTTACCAATTATCTCAAACATTTGAAAGGTCAAAGGTTTATCCCCCATTACCACTTGCTTCTGAGCTAAACTCAAGTTCTTTAGTGCTTCATGGGGTAATCTACAATTAACATTAATACCCATCAATAATAATCATCAAAATCACCACTTCGAACATCTAATTTCATGCTTTAATAACCAAATTTTTCAACTATAAGATCAACCTTGCATCCAATGAGTTCTTTAACTCCCATTAATTTTATTTAGCTCTCAACAACTTAAATAATTACTAATATATCATCTAACAACCAAAAATCATAATTAATGTCACAAATTACTCACTTTCAACTTTTAATTTCCAACACTTTAATAACCCAAAGCTTTCAACTATTGAGTTTAATCATCATATTAGGTTTATTAACTTCCATTAGCTTCAACTAACACTAACAAAATCTTTAATCAATATCAATGGTAGCTACTTACCTCAACCACTACCATTTATGACACTTTAGGGCATAATTTCATCCATAATTGAGATCTTACTCTCATGAATGCATAAAACCACTATATCTAGGCTTATATAACTCAAATAACTCCCATTAATTCCATTTAGACTAATGGATTCGGACCCATGGCCCTAGGTCCGAAAATCATCATCTTCCAATCTCAAATTTCACTTTTAAAATATGTAGAGAGATGAAGAAGAGATAAGGAAAACATACCTAGATGGAATTAAGCTCTAATCACTTCCAAAATGCCCACAAGTTGATGTCCTAGTAGAGAAATCACTCCCTCCATCGCCCTCCCTCTATTTCTGGTCTTTTCCCCTTGTTTCAGACGCCTTTGTCACGTTTTTAAAAGATTAGTTTTGAAAATTATGTTGCAACGTAAATTTTTATACTGTAGCATAATGCATAGTGTGTTAAAAATTCATTTTTTCTTTATAATTTGAGTCCGGGAGACCTAATTTACTTTCAAATCCAATTCAAAAGCTAAAACCAAACCTAATAGCTGTATCTAATTATTCTCAAATTCATTTATATTTAAATTTATAAATTTACCTCTCTTTAGCTTAATTAATTAAGGGGATAATTTTTGAGATGTTACGATGAGTTTTAAGCCTTCCCATTATATTAATAGCTATGATTATGGTTTTAATTATTTCTATCACAATAGAATTTATTCTACTATAGTAACATCCACTTATTTTTATTTATTTCAATTACAAATTGTAAGTTTAATTTTATTAACCATAATAGACATTTAATATGAGTCCTTTCCTTTTCTACCATAGTTAACTTTTTTTAATTGCAGTTGTTCCCTTTTTACCATAGTAAGATGGCTAAGGTGGTTAATCTCCAATTACCATGGTAGAATAATGTTATTATTAGTTTAACAAAATTAATTAGGTAATATCATAACAATTACATTTGAGAAATTAGTATATTATTTTGAAGTATAATAATTTAAAAGTGATGTTATCATCGGGAGAGTAAATACACGCTATGCTCTCTTTTTACCTCAAATAATATTTTGTTCGATTGGGTTTTTCTAGTAAAGTTTTTAATAAAACAGCATTAGATATCATACAAATGAATGATGTACTTTTTTCTCCTACTAGATGTTTGTTCCATAAGATTTTTCCTAGTTAAAGTTTTAAATGAGACACATTTTTATATAATGGACATTCAAGGAGAAGTATTATAATTATAGTTATAAATATAAACATTATCTATGGATGTCCCTTTCCCCATGTCATAATTATGAGTGTTCATCTCCCACACTATTCAAAAGGTGTAATTCATGAGATTCTTGAATTTTATTTTCCACTTAAAATTAATGTCTTCGTCATTATATATTATTTCACAATCTTGAGACTCTTGAATTATAAGTGTTTACGATATATGCCATCTTGTTTGTATTATAAGTATGAAAGAGAACACAAGATATCATCCTTATTCTTTGGTATGCTGTTCGAACTTGAAATCTGTAGGATGAGTATGCAGCACACTAACCAGCAAGCAACAAGTTTTCATGGAAAAGTCATCCTTATTCTATTGTCTCTATTCTTCCCCCTCCTCCTTCTCTTTCTTCTCATTTCTCTTCTCTCAACTTTTTATTCACGACAATATTTATTTTATTTAGATATATATGATTCCTGAGCTAAAAAAAATGTAACTTTTATAAAGTTCATTAATTCACCGTTCTTCCCCCAATTTCTTTTACTGTTTTTTCTATAGTATAATATACTACAATAAATTTCCTATTTTGTCCTTTTTTTGTCAAAAGAAATGATCCTCTATTTTTTTTGATTTAGTGAGCTTCTAGATACATTTTTCTCCATATTTTTTATTGTTTAACATGCTTCCTTCAAGTTGTTGAAGTTCCCGCAAGAAGAAAATATTATCAAATTACCTTATTTCTAAAATTTGGAATCTAAAAAGACCAATTTAATAAAGCCAAAACAAAATATCAAATTAAGATTAAGTTTCAAAGGGAATTACTTTGAAGTCCTTACAACATATTTAAATACCACAAGTTTTATGAAGTAAAAATGACATTAAAATTTTTATAATTTTTTTATTAAATTGTGAATAAAACTTTTAGTATTTAAATGTGTTATGGAAGATTTGTGTATAATTCTCTATCAAAGTTTTATCATTGAATTATTATCTTTATCAAAATATTTTATATAACAAAATATTAAATTAATCTAAAAAATATCTTATAAAATGCAACTAAATTGATCTGATCCAAGAGTAAAAATATCTTATCCTATAAAATATTAATATTAACATTAACATTAGTTATTAATTAATTATTAATTATTAATTAATTGTTAATAAACCTTGTAGCATTTAAATATGTTATAGAGGACTTGTGTATAATTCTCTCAAAGTTTTATTATTGAATTACTAGTTTTATCTAAATATTTTATATAAAAAATATTAAATTAATCCAAAAAATATTTTATAAAATGAAACTAAACTGATCTGATTCAAGAGTAAAAATATCTTATCCTATAAAATATTAAGATAAGATGGTTAGAATTTTTTTCCCCTTAACCCCGGGAGTCACAACGCAGCGTTTGGGACTTCGGGACAATTTTCTAGATCCGCTGCCCTGAGTGACGCGATTTCAATCGGGGAAACACTTTCTTCGGCTTTTGGGAGTCTTTTTTACTGTGTTCGCCGGGAAGCCTGAGCAAGCTTTGAACCTTTGGCACAACTCCTTCGGTATGAGTTTGACCCAATTCGCCATGGTATGTTTCTGCGCGACGGTTTTATTTTTCCTCGCTTTCTATTTGTTGCCTGCTTTGGTTTCTCCCCAATTTCGTCGTTTGCATTTTATGAATTTAACTGGCCTGTTTGAGTAATAGTGATTATTAAGTTCTTAGTTCTTCCGGATATTAATTGAGCAATTCTCATTTGGTGGTCACAAAATCCACTAGGTTTAGCGCCGGACCGCGTTCTTCTCATTAAATTATATCCGGTCTCACTGCTCATCGCAAAATGCGGCAGAAACCGAGCAAAAGTATTTTTTTCTATTCGATATTGTATGTGAGGAATAAAATTTTACCGAGCATCTGGTGATCAATATGCATATCTCACGTGGAGTTTATATGAAAATGTAACAACGCAAGTATTTGTTAAATTTTGAGAATTCGCCTGTGGACTAGTAGCTCGCGTGGCATCAGTGAAATTGGTGCGTGTCAAGTCAATGGCTCAATCCAAAATGCCTTCGAAAGGAGAAATTTACTCATCTGAACATGCCTGGAATTCTTGAGATGATGGAGAAGGGGACGAACCTATTTATTCACGAAATTTATGAAAGGGATTCAGAACGCTATACAATCGCACTCCATTGTTCTTCACGTCATCCTCCTTTTGTATGCTGTAACAACGTTGCTATTAACTTTATGTATACTTACGCTCAAAGTTACTTGGATTTTGGCCGAAACTTACGAAGCTTGATGAGCTAGGACAGATGTCTGCATGCTGAAATTCAATGTTTGATCCGAAGTTAACTCTTAACTTTTGGTGTTCATTCATAGTTAGATAAGGCTTGTTTGTTCATCAAAGCATTTGTCTGACAGGGATTTCATTATAGTTTGGGTTTAGTGTTGGCCTAATTCTCTCTAACAGCATTTGTTCACCTGTTTGTCTCCTTATATCTGCAGCTCATTAGCTGCGATTTATCTTTTCTCAACTCTACTATAATAAATGGGATAGGTTGAAATCTCCAGGAAGATATGTATTTTCCATTCTGTGTTGTTGATCATTCGTTTCTTTCTTGTTGCTGTAAAATATTTTGAACTTGTACTTTGGAGGGATTCCCCCCCCCCGGGGGGTATCTGTTTAAACTTCTATGTTGGGGGGTATCTGTTTAAACTTCTATGTTGTTAGCAGGTCGAGGAATTGGCTTTTCTTGTCAAGGACAATCTTCCTTGCAAGCATCTAGTTCTCACTATGGAAGAAGCCCTAGTTAAGTTCCTTCAGGATGATAACACATGGTAACAATTTATGACACATCTTTTGACTGATGTTGAAGCTGAAATTTAGTGCAAGCCATTTCTATGGCATAAGTGATAGGAAAGTAAGAGGTTTTAATGATTCTAATAATTTTGTCTTGAGCATGGTAATAGACAAATATGAATGCCCAGTGGATCATCATATTCTATATATTTTTTCCTCCTTTCTTTTTGTTGCTTTTGCACTCCCACCCTAGGGGATGATTCATAAAAATTTATGTTATTCAGTGTTTCATATTAATTTGAAAACCATGGCATTGCATCTCTTACTCTCACTTACATAAAATTGAAGTGTTATAAGTTTGTGCCTTAATTCATAGATAAAAGAAGGGAGGTTGTAGGAGATGAGCATTACGTTTTATCGGTCTTTTGTAGTGTCTAATTATAGGTGGTTTTTGTGCCAGTTCAGTGTATACATCCTGCATTGTAAGCAATAGTTTACAAAGGTTAGAACTTTTTCCCATAGTATCATATCTATTTCTTGATCTGTGTTTTTCTTGAATTGTAGTTCAGATGGGATCTTGGAATTGGAGCCAATGGACTCTTACAGTCGTCTTCTCTTACATCGTCTTGCAGAGATATTTAGGTACTCTTCTTATAAATTTAGTTCCGTGCAAGTGACCTTTAATTTCCATTTTGGTTTCTTTGTTGTTGTTTTTCTTTTTTAATTTGTATCTGTTTTTTTTTTTAAGTTGATAGTTTCATAATTGGTGTCAGGTTTACACATGAATCTGTTGGTGAAGGAGATGATCGCCATTTGATTCTGGTGAGGTGTCCAGAGACATCTATGTATGTGAAATAAAAGGGCCCCCTACCTTCAATTCTTTTTAAATCAAGCGTCAATTAGATTTATGTAATCAGTCTCTCTACATTTGAAGAAATCAACAATGTTTCTGAGGTTTCTCTCATGAAATAATCTGTGTATGTGGTTGGATTGCAGACCTCCCATCCTGGTTAGTGATATCCTCTGGGAGTATGATGAGCCTCAGCATCTGATTTCATCACACCAAATATTAAGGAGAAAAGAAACCATACCAGGTGATACATGCCGCCATTTATTGTTGCTGTCAATTACTATTGTATGTTCAGCACAATATTGAACTCTATTGAATCTTCCATGGTTAAGAAATGAGTAAATATAGTATGCTATCCTATGATTTAGGCTGTCTTCACTTTGCTAACTTGTGTGTCACTCTGCTGCCTTTATGTTTGGTCCATCAAGTCTTTGACTCAATACTGCTTCATTCTTTAATTTTGTTTATCACAAATTGAAAACCTCAAGTTTGAACTGATATTTTCGAATTTTATCTCAAAAAACACGTTGAATTGAGAATTGAGGGCTGGGGAAATAAGTTGGGGATGCTTGACTGAACAATTAGGGGGGAATTTCTGGACGGGGCAAGAATTTGGAGTGTGTGAGAGACTTGGTTGAAAAAGAATCAGGGATTTCTAGATGGGGTTAATACAAGTTTGAAAGAGCTATTGGATTGAACTAAGCATGAAGTTCGGAATGGGGAAATGACTTGTGGGCCGGAGGAGTTGATTGTGGATGACAAAGGTTAGGGATCTCAAGGCTGAATTGGAAGAAATTTGGGGAAACTGAGGACGTCACAGTGAATGATTAGGAAATATTTTGGGTATTGTTGAGCTTGGTTGGAGAGAGGGGTTGTTGGTTGAGATTAAACAGAAAATTTATGATAATATTAGTTTACATTGCAACATTTTTTCCTTGATGAAATTAAGTGCACTGCACTGCATGAGTGGGCCTTTATATTTCTGCTGCTTCTTTCAGCCTCTCAGACAATTACAGCACCCTTTCAGCAGTCACTAGAGAAGAGAAAAGAAGCTTATTTGATTGCTCGAGAGCGAATTTTTTCCATGAATTTGGAGGACGAGAAAGGGTCTGGTGAACAGAAACCCCGAAGTGTGCCTGTGGTTGCCCGCCGAATGATTGCTCATGCTCTAGGTCAAAGCATCCATTCAAAAAATCAGAATGGCTTGCCTAACAATAATATGAAGGATAGAGTATGTACCGACGTATCAGATGATCAGAATAAGAGCAGTGAAGAGTCCAACCTTGTGGAACATTCTGAAGAGTCTATACACCCAAAAAGGAACTCAAACAGTAGAATAAGAAATGATAGCAGCTCCAATGCATCCTCGTTCAATGAAAGGAATGATGACAAACCACAAGTCTCTCAACATGTAAAGCATGGTAACAGGGCAAGTAAAGTCGACTACATGAAAATGGAGCATTTAGGAGCTGCGAGGAGAATCTTTGCCCATGCTTTGGGGGTGCACTCTGGGAAGGATGCTGCTTCTGCTTCTAAAAGTGGTAGAGAATTAAAAAGGAGTGACACAGAATAAGGTGGATAAATTTTATACACTACTGCTGCTCTAAATGAACATTCGCAGGGGCACGGCCAGGTTTCAATTGTGATGAGAGGGATGAGGAATGAATACATTTTACTTAAAATTCGTGATGTTTTCTGGGGATATTCAGGCGAAAGATTATCCTAGTATTATGGTTTTTCAGTTATAATTAAATATGCTTTAGTAAGTTGAGAAGCAATGCAGTTCAAAGGTATCATCAAAGAGGTAGAAGAAACAGTATCTTGTCGACCTGCCTTGGCATGTGAAACACAGTTGGTTGCGTGGAGTTTAGTCTACCGAACTTCGTAACCCTTGCAGTCCTGTCTTCATTGTAGATGTTTATTTTGTTATGTTAACGTCTAGGTTTTCTTCATGGACACGGACCTTCCGCCGTGCTAGGTATGAACGAGTCATTTCTTCACATGGAGGGGGGTGTATGTATTTTTAATGTAACATATTTCTTTATCTTGTTTGGGAAATTCCAATTTAGGTTCTTCTGTTTTACGTTGTGTGATCACTATGATAAGATACCCGTTATCACCTGCACTAGAAGGACGAGTGGGAGGTGGGAGGGTTGAATGTTGAGTTGCAGTTAACGACTTGAGAAATGGGGCTTGACAGTCTCCAATCGTAGAGGAAGGTGGCAGAAGATAGCGGGGCACGCACCTTCGTAGCCCATAGGATCTCAACATGCATGCGACTCTTTCACGGCTGTTTTTATTTTATCTTATTTTATTTAATTCATTATTTTTATTATTTAATTATTATTTTTCGGTGAACAGTGGAAACAGACCAAATCAATACATCATTATTAATAGGCAAGTAGACAATTGAATTGGTTGGATGTTGCCAAGAAAATCCAGTACCAACTCCCATTTCTTGTTTTAATTATTACGTCTGCTAGAGGTATCGCCTTGGGCAGTCTAAACTTTGATCATTACCATTGCATCTAGGACAGAGTACTCCTACAACTCGTGGGATTGAGTTGAGATTCTTGCTCTGTAATTTCATTAGCATTACATCGATAGACATTCATTTTAGTTTCCCATACCTAGCACACTATGGGTGTATAATATTAATTAATACAGAAAATTAAGAGTTTATGAAGCTTATTTTGGGATGCTATCTCGGTGCAAGTCAAATGTATATGCATTCGAATCTTGTGAATTCCCTCCATCGAGGGTCTCTTCACTGCCTCAGATAAAGTCAGTTGTCTGCCTTATCCTTTGACCGTCTACGAGGCACGTTGAAGGAGGTGACGCTCCAAACATGACTGATTTAAGGGAATGTTGACTTTCGAATCAGATTTAACAGAGCAAGAAGACTGAGGAGACTATACATCCTTCTCATTCATGGGAACAATTGCCGCCACTCATGGCTATATTGGTAGAAGTAAAATGGTGAATCACATTTTTGTACACAAGAATCCCATCAAAGTGAAGTCCACACCTTGGGCAGCTATACAGGCATCTCTAGAAGTAGTGAGTTAGAAAGCAGACACAAAACGTAGCTTATATGCTTTAAGCAACAGGGGTACATTGTGGTTGTTTACATTGTCTTTTGTCTGCGAACAGACACCGATAAGGAAGCTGAATGAATGGAACTACTCTCATGATTTGTATTAGCTCTTTTCCAACCCGACCCACCAAATATGGTCGGGACAAGTTTTCAGGATGGCACTCATGAATCGTACAGAGATGATGCCACGCTTGTTTAGAAGATAGATATGATCAGATGGGAATATTCTATACAATATGAAATTTATAACAAGCACTATTATTTACAAGTTATGAACAACATGACTTATTTTTCAGATACTGCATCGGGTCCTAGTTTTAGATGATGCCACGCTTGATAATTACTTCTGAAAAATAATTATAGACCCGTCCCCTGTTATTCATACAAGTCCTCAGTAGAGGCTTGTGCCAAAACTGTTTAACTCCAGGATCCATACAATTATATCGCCAACAGCACCAAACCTACTTCCAAACTAATTGATATGGTCTAGCATGCACCGATAGATCTTTCGACGGCTCACTAATTAATCTGAAAAACTAGACATGCAAGAAGCTCCAGCAATATCAGAGAATACCAGACATCATGTCAGCATCACGCTAGGAAAACCTTCACCTATCTGCACGTGCTATTGACACAACAAAGACCTATCCACAAATGGTTTCACGACAAACAGTACATCCACGACCATAAGAAATATCAATTTGACAAGAACATGAAAGAATAGCAGACCAAATCATGCAAATTTCTATCGCCATGCTTATCCATCCAGCATCTTTGAATGCCGCAGGATCTAGTGTGGAATGCTACAAGTTTTCAGATGTTCATACAGAACATTCTCTGATCATTTCTTCCAGCTTCTGTTTCAATCAAGGACCATATCAGAAACAAATCCATGCAACAATGATGATTCCCTTTAGCAATACCTACTGAGTTCGTCTTCATTATTCACCTTCTTTACTGTTTACTTGAGACGAATGCCTAGATGATGTAGAATGGAGCAGAGACTGCCCAGCCACCAATTTCTCCCTTAGCATTACATTATACTCATGCAAAAGTTTTAGATTCCTCTTGACATCAGACAAGTCCATTTCAGAATCTCTCTTAAATTCTGCCACGCAAATGACAAGTTAAATGTATGAGAGGTATCAAAAGCATTCAATAATATTTTAAAAAGCTTTGTACAACCACATCAAAATATTAGAAAGCAAAAGGATTTGCAAAATCACTGAAAATAAATAACCAAACAACATAGAAACATGTAAGAAAATGAATCGAAGTGAAAAGTCTAACAGCTATAAAGCACTAACAATCATTTTTTATGCATAACCATTAAGGCATAATGTATGCCATGCGAATATAAAATTTTAACAAATAATTTTACCATGACCATATTAAGGTTTGACCGTACCTGATAATTTAAAAAGCTCAAGCTATATAACATAGTTATATGAAGCTTAATATAATTTATTTATATTAGTAAGATTTATTTATATCACAAGTAGTAATTTGATTGTGTTAGCCTAATCTATGTAGTGCGGTAATTAATGCATGAACCTAACAGCTGCAGAACCAGTAGTCATGCCATGACATGATTTAAAAAGAGTAGCAGCGGTAGAATGAGAGATCACTAGAAAGAGAATTTATAGAACCTTGGAAGACGTAAATACAGGTTTACCAAAGTAACAATCTGCAGTGTTTTTTAATTAGAAAAGGTATTGCAATAAAGGGTTGAATGGTCATGGGAAATGACATTCACGATAATAAGTATGCCAACGCAAACAGAAATTAATTTCTACCTAGTGAAGGTGGTGGTGGAATGAAGTTATCAATGAAAGAAGATTCTTGAGGTTGAGACGGAGTCATTTCTTCACTTGAACCAACACTCTGCTGCTTTGATACATCTTCTGAATGCTTCTTCTGATCATTTGTGGATTTAAGTGGTTTGCAGCTCAATGACTGGAAGAGAAAGCATTGAAAGATGAATATAAACAATTTCTTGGGACATTGACCAGTCAATTCTCATTTAATTTTGAAAGAAACACTACAAACCTTTTCTCCTAACAATGATGTCATGTTCATCAAAACTTACAGCCAATTCATATTATAACTTACACCTTGAGGTTGCTCAGCATGTGTGGAATAGGTTTGTTTGGGTTTGTAAATGAAAGTATTGGATTATATGATTATGCCTACTTTGTAGTACATATTCTAGCACACCAGATGTATCATTTTTAACTATTTTGCACAGTGACCTATGTCATGCAAAGCAACCTCCAGAAAAGGGAGAGAGAGATTCAAAATGCATCAAGAGCTAAACTAACTTAGTTTTAGAATGAACAGAATAAAAGCTTTACCCTGGTTGCAGTTCCACTGGCTTTGCTGTAAAAACTGATTGAACTTGTTCTGCTTTGTTGCCTTCGCTTATGTGATGACCCACTTCCACGAATTGATTGCAACATGAGCCCACTGCAACTTGATTCCGTTTTAGAGTTCTTGTAAATGTCATCTCCAGTGTTACAGCCATACGTGTACATTACATATTTTCTCAACTAATTAGAAGTGGACATTATCAGTCATCCAATCCAAATTCAAAAGGATATATAATCAGTTAAAGGTTAACAGTAGGAGATATATGAGATGTTTTGATCAGTTAAACAGAAATTACTTTGTCCCATCGCTCTCGAGCTTTGCGCTGATTTCTAATTCTCCGCAAAATACTATCTTCATTTCGGAGTTTCTTTATCCTGTACTCACACTAAAATTTAACAAAATTAGAACCCCACATGGATCATAAGACAATTAGGACTACTATGAGCCATTCATCATGATCTGATATAGTATGCACCAACTAATAAAAGAATAGTCACACAGAAGTCATGGCATGAATGGATATTTTAAAAATCTTAACTACTCAATTTTATACAAAACCAGAAAAAACTTTATTGCTTGACAATTTCCACCTTGATGCATGTTCCGGCATTTGTCGTAACTCATAAACCAAATATTGTTGCTTCTGATGCTAGAGCTACCTAGGAAGAATATGGCCAAAGATCTTTGCTGGAGTCTATATCTATAATTAATAAATGGATGAAGGATTTGCTTGTCTCATTTGACAAACAGTTATAAAGTGCAAAGGTTGAATGTTTGCATTTTGTTATCTTCCATCATGTTCATTTTTCAATATTAAGAAATCATAGGTATAATAATACTGAGAAAGACTAAAGGAACCAAAATCATACTTGTATCAACAGGTAGAAAAAAATGCCTATGCTAATACAATACAGGCCACCAAGATCTGCAAGAAAGCTCACTGCACATCAAAACAGAAAATATAATGATTGATGTCAGCAGGAAGCAACATTTGATATACATATATATATATATATATATATCTGTATAAATGATATGACGATATGTTACTTTATTAGAAATACAAGATTTCTGAGACAGTTAAAGTTTTATAACAGAAAAGCAGCATCCTAGCAAAAAACCAATGCCTCCATCTATTAACCTCAATTACCTATAGTCATTTGGCCTGGTCTATTTGATCTGCTTATTCTAAAAATGCCCACATTAGTACAACAAATACAGCATGTCAGTTTGACAAGACATCCTCACGCAAGACAGAAAAGGGGATAAAGGGGAAAGGAACCAAGTTCTCAACATTCAATATCAATTCAACATTCCAACAAAACAACCAACTAAACACGCATACTTAAAGGAAAAGCAATTGGCTAACCTAACCCTAGGACCATAAGACTAACAATGTAAGCAGCCCCACTTGCTCAAATTATAAAACCTCACACATACGCATGTGCATGGATGTGCGTGTGTGCATGTGAGTGTGGATAAAAATTAGAGGTCATAGGATTAGCCAATTGGACTTGAAGGCAAGGAGCCAGTAGCATTTCTTAAGAAAATGAGTGAGGAAATTTGGCAGGACTGAGGATATGCACAATGGAAGCAACATCAAGGAAGTAGGTAAGATTGCAAAAACTACAAAACAGGACAGTTATTGCAAAGAAAGTTCTTCAGTACCTGAAATTCATTTAGAACTTAGAAAAAATGCAGATTGACAGACAAGTACACATACAAGCTGGCAAAAGATATTTACCAGGACCCATGATACTCTTCTTGTCAATTTCCACAGTATAAGCAGACAGAAAATTGATGTACAATGTAGTATTTAAGAGTCCATCAACAGAGCTTTCAAGGGATGCCTGCAGCTGATTTGCATCACGATAAATTGAGCCAGGCAGGAACTCATGAAACAAAGGTTGGATTAGCTTCAAATCATGTAAACTATGGTATATTCGGGGGAACAAGTTAAATTTTAAAATATTTGATTCCCTCCCTCTGAATGTAACCGGTCTATCATCAAAAGCACTTCCATTTTTTAGAGTTCCACTAACAAAACTCACGTACTTGTTTAAATTATCCATTGCAGAGAGATTGAACTCAAACCCAACAGCCATGGCAGGATTATTGGGGAGATCAGCAAAATGCCAAGAAATGTACATGTTATCATGAACCAGTTTGCAGTTTTTACACTTAAGTGTTACGGTTGGGCCCTTGCTTGAGTTGTGGCAAGAGTAGTTTGCCAAAGTTGATAGAGAAGAAACTCTTTGATCAATAAATCCAGGATTTCCAGTAACAAAGCTACCAAGATCACGTAGATTTGAACAGCTCATACTAGAAATGGTGGTTATGTTGAACTCCATGTCATTCATAAATGAATTTAATTCTGGTCTGCTTGTAGCTCTCACATTATGCACCTCAATTGTTCTTTTTGATATGATCTGGTACAGCAACCTGATGAAAGGTGGACTCAAAAAATGGATACCATCCTTAAAATATTCTAATTCCTTAAATACAAAAGCTATCAGATACTCACGCAGCAAATAAACCAATAAAAAGGATCCAACTTGCTATGGAGAAAGTTCCGCCAAGTTCTGTTTTGCGCTTTTTAACTACCTTCTGGTCATCCTATATGAAAAATAGCAGTTACACATAAAGTATTGTTCTCATAAATTTAACAAGCACACCAATAATAGGATAAGGAAGCAGGCGTTGCATTATATTTACAAACAATTCAAATTTCTTGCAGGTCCACATCAAGTGACATGGGTTTCAACTTGAATAGAGATGTAACCATGTGAAACAGTCAAGAATACTTTGAGATGTGAAATTTTCGTAATGAAGAACAAGATTGCAGTTGTTTGTGTGCCTTTGACATGGAGAATGAACTGAAAATGATATGCGAAGCAACAGATCATAGGAGAACCTAAAGTCCTCTCGCTAGCCTAAGTTGTAATGTTAATTCAAGAATATCCACAAGCTATACTTTTGCGTTTGCCACCGATAAAATAAGGTGAAATCAAGACGCTTAGCATATGCCGAATATTAGCATAGGGCCCCAATAAGTGGCCAGTTAATGACACGCATGATTAAGAAAAATGGGAGGCAAAATGAAGCCTCAATTCCTTACGGTCCGTTGGCTTCAACTCCTTATGATTCCTAGGAAAAGCCTTTCCAACTGTAGCCATCATATATTCCAATATCAGCATTTTTTAATGATTTTACCGTAATACAATCAAATTTGGTTGGCCACAACCATGGGAATAGTCTCTCCCATGTAATCATCATTCTTAAAAATTGGCAAACCAAATCCATGAGGTTATACATGTCAATTCTCAGTATGATTTCATTGCTCTCTTAAAAAAAAAATGTGTTCTTTCATTTTAGTCCATTTTATTCTCCATTACCCCATCTCATCTCATTCCTATCCTTTCCAACAATCAAACAGCACCTAAACTTTTATTGGTGTGCCTACACTTGACAGCTGACAGCAGCCAAGGTAAAGGGTAGTTTAGATGAAAATACACGGAAGGAAGAAGGAAATAAATGACTGAGAATGATGGTAAGATTAGAGGCGGCGCGGATGAATGAAACTGGAGATGAGATAAAGAAAGTAATGAATAATGAAAGGGGGGAACTAACCAGCCAATGCCTGGTGGCAAAACAAATATCCAAACGGCTGATCCACCATCTGATGTTAAACCATATAGTAGAGCCATCGCCAAGGTTCGTAAACCTCAAGAAAAAGCAGAGGAGAAGCCAAGAGAGAAGCATAACGAGGGTGGCCTCCAAGAACACAGCCTGGGACTGCGTAAACTTCTTGATGGAATCAAAGGCAAAGATGGTCTCCGGAAAGCTGATGGCATAGTAGTCGACTCCAGATTCAGTATTAATGGAGGAGTTAGCGGTGAAGAGAGTGCAGCTGTTAGAGGGGCGAACGAGGAGGTAGCCAGGAGGGCAGGCGCAGAGGGAGCCATTGTAGCTGATGGAATTTAGAGGGCATGCCATAAAGAAGAGAACTCGCTTTAGGGTGGTTGGATTGCGCTTGTTAGTGCGCTACATCAAAAAAATTGAACAGGAAGGAAGTGAGGGAATTGGGTTCCGTGCTCCGATCTCGATGCCTAGCGGCAAGAGAAGGGAAGAATGTAGAGTAAAGAAAGGAATGTTAACACCTGAAGACTGCTAATTAGCAAGCACTGGAGAGAGTGTTGATTTCCCTTTGTCGTCTCCTTTTGCGATTATGATTTTGCTTTGTCTCGGGGTTATTCTGGAACACGCAGCGCAACCAAAACACTTCGTTCGTTTTCTTTGATCTTTCCACGCTCGTCCTGACTCCACAGCGCTGGTGTCAGAAGATGCCCCGGTGAAGCCGTTAAGGGCATGTTTGGGCGAGTATTAGGACCCGCTAGTTTCAGATTAAAAAATAAATAATTTTTAAATAGTTTAAAAACTTTATAAAAAAAATTATTTTACATAGATTTTATAAAAAACCAAAAAAATATTTTATGTGGTTACAATAATAAAAAAATAATTATTAATTATTTATTTTTAAATTTTATGATATCTTTCTTATTTTTGTTTTATAAAAATAATTTTTCATTATATTGTTTAAAAAAATTATTATATCTTCGCGTATCTCACTTCTTTAAAACATATTCTCTCATTTATTATATTAGATTATTTTTAAAAGTTTTTCAAAGTAGCTTTGTAAAATAATCAAAAATATATTTTTTAATTCTGATTATTTTTAAAAGTTCAAACAAACATCTTAAAAACTTATAAAATAAATTTTAAAAAAATGATTTTTTTGTGAAATTAGTTGAAATAAATGGGCTCTTAATTGACTTTGGGTAGATTTATTCATAAAAGTCATTTTCTTTTTAAGTGATCACATACGGTAAAAGACGCCTCATTAGTTGAGACAATTCAAGTTTGTCAAACTAGTCTTGAACTTTAGTGTCCAACCCATCACACTAATGGTACATCTAGATTATCGATATATAATAATTATAAAAATTTTAATATTAAATTAAATCTTTTAAATTAAATATAGACTAAATTTAAAATAAAAAATTTATTAAAATTATTTTATAATTTTTTATTTTAATAAATATAAAATAAAAAATATATAATAATATTTTAAATTTGAATAAAATTTAGATGATTCAGATCTCATCACATTGATGAGTATTATGTGCTGATCACTATGATAAGCACTAAAGATGAGCCCTAGAGTGTTAGGGAGGGCAAAATTTGAAGGGAGGAAAATCATACAAATTGTTATTGTATGTTTTATCTTTACTTACCTTCAATTTTCTTCTTGACACCTCTTTATTTCTTCTTTGTAGATTATTTATATTTTTCGTGTGTTGGAAGAGGTGAGAGAGATTGCTTTTCCTAGTACAAAAACACCACATGATTCATAAATATAGAAACGATCAAAATTAATTTTAATTGATTGAAAAAAGATTGATATTAAATTTGAAGGGCCTAAAAAAATATGAACTTGCAATCAAAAAATGAGTCATTGTTTTGAATCCTATAATCCATTCTTTTAATACGAAAATGAACTAGTAATCTTGATAGAAGGTTAAGGGGAGAAAATATTATGAAATTTTTTTAAAAATAACACTTAATATCTTAAACTATTGTTTAAAGTAAAATTATTCTAGAACTTTTAAAAAAGGTGCGTAACCACCAAGGACAAATCCAGGGTGAGAAACATTGGGGGAAAAAATTTAAAAGATAAAATATGGGTTGCCAGACTCTATTTTAGGAATTTTTATTAAAATAAATAAATAATCTTATAAAGGGGTGTGAAAATTAGGGAGGGAAGCACCCCTGCATGCCCTCATTATATTCATCCCTGAGTATCACCCTACCGTTAAATCCAGAGAGCATTGACTGTTAAAGTAAAGTTTGATTATGGGTATTTTACTGTTTTGACATTCTTCCTTCTTTTTTTTTTAGCTCTTCCTTCTTCTCCACCTCCCACCTCCTCATGCTCTGCATTTCACAGCCACAAGTGTTCAATCTTTTTTGTTGTCTGAGAAAAGGTGAATCTAAGCCTTCCTATTCAACATAAGGGCAATTGTGATGATGAAGATGATATCCTGATCCAGCAAGTGTTTACACTAGAACCTTGATCCCTTTACCGTCCACGGCATCACAAAATTCTTCAATCTTGCCCCCTTGAAATTTTCCCGGCAGTTCCTGAGCCTCAAGCCGCTTCGTCTTTTGGCCGATGCTCAAAACGCTTCAATCCTCCTCCCTACGAACGATCTTCCTATGGACTTTGATTAGCAAGATCATGGAGCAGTTATCGACGTCTAGGACCAGGCATGTATATGCATCGACGCTTTGATTTTCTTCCCAACTCTAGTCTGGTTTTGTTTTTCTTTCTTTTTTCTTTTTTTAGCCTTTTGAATGTTACAAAATCTAGCATGGTTAATTTTTAAGGTAAATTGATCAAGGAGCATGTGGATCGTGTTGGTCGTTTAGCACGACGGGGGCATTGGAAGGAGCTCATTTTCCTTTCTTTTCTACAAAATGAACTATGCCTGGGTTCCTAATTTGGAGAATCAGTGTCAAATGCAAGCCTAGAGAGAACTGTTTAATGGATTTGGGCTTAATTTGTCAACTCATCCTTCTAACCGTAGTAATGGCAATGCAATGGATCTATCTCCTAGTAGCACGAGGAGGATACACTTCTTCCCTGATTTGAATGATGATGACTGTCACTTGGCTGTTAATCTTCCTTTAGATTGGTTTGGTAATTGAGTTAAAGAAATGTGTGTTGAACAAAGACCAAAAACGCAGAAGGAAGGAGAACAAAATACAAAAATACCTTTGATCAAGCTTCATTTTAATAGTCAATATTTTTTTAGAATTAATGGTAAGGTAATATTGTAACTTTTTGAAAGTTCTAAAGTGATATTATTCTAAACAAAAGTTTAAAATACCAGGTATCCCTTGCAAAAAAGTTTTAGGACTTTTTTCTTTTTAACCCTTTTATATACTCACTATTAAATTTATTGGATCATTTATGAAATGACAAGTGGCAAGATATTACATTTTTCTTTCTCATAAAGTGATAATTATAATTGAATTAAAATGAGTTACTATATAGTAATTGAACATTGTATAAATGAACTAGTACTTAGAATGCTTAGAAATTTCTCAGAGCCATTGTTTTTAAGGAGAATCACATCCAGGGCCTTTAGGAGGTTAAAAATTGCATTAAGGGTTTAATGCATTATGAATTTACTCTAAAGCCCAAGGGCCCTTGTTACACAAATATGTTTGAGGAAGAAAAGACCCAATTACTCCTTTTATTTTCTTCCCTCTCTCTACTTCTCCATGGCTCTTCCTCCTCTCTCTCCCTTCTTATTCTCCTCCTCCTCTCTCCCTTCTCTATGCTTTTCATTATGTCCAATGGTGTTGTGTCGGTGCTGTACTTGACTTGCTCTTAGTGTTTTGTTTGGTTTTGATTTTTCAATGTTGCAATTTGTCTAGAGAACAGGATTCACTCACTAAAGAAATTGAATCACTATGGAAAGGACATTCAAGCGCTTCTTAAGGACCAATCGTTTCAAATGCTACTGTTGCAAATGCACCAATCAAGAAAAGAAGGCTCCCTTTGGTTCAAGCTTCATCTTTTTTGTCAAACTGATATAACTTGACTTGTTTGCTTGACTCTAAATTGATAGCGGATTATTTGTTGTGAACTTATGATTGTTTGCTTGTTCATATTAGATGTTTACATGTAAATATATAAACCTTTACCTATGAATATATAGACTTTTACTTGAAAATATCTGAACTTGAACTTGTCAATATGTGAACCTTTTGTTTTTAATATGTGAACATGTAGTTGTACAAATCAAAACTCTTGCTATCATTGAACTTTTTTTTTTTTTGAATAAATGAAGTTAGAAATTTTGAATTTTGACTTGTGAATTGATGAACCAATACTTGAGAATATTCAAATTTTAAGTTGTAAATTTATGAACTTGTCTAACATGAATTTATCAACTTTGAACAGGAATTTTACTACTAATGGACAATTATGTTTTAATTTGTGTACCTAAAGTTGTAAAATTATGAACATATGATTGTAAAAATTAAAACTTTTACTTACTTTCGTAACCTTATTTCTAAATATATAGAGTTAGAAATTTCGAACTTTGACTTCAAACTTTAAGTTATAAATTTGTGAACTTTTGCATTGATAATTTGTGCAAGTGCTTTAGGTGTGACATTTTGTGCTAGCTAGTGGAACATGCTAATAATGTCAAAGCTCAAAGTACTCTTACACTCATAGCAGGAACTAAAACAAAACCAAAATGCCTCCATAATGATTCAATTTCTTTAGTGAGTGAATCTTGTTCTCTAAACAAATCCCAACACTGAAAAATCAAAACCAAGCAAAACACTGTGAGCAATTCAAGACACAACAACATTAGATAGAATGAAAAGCACAGAGAAGGGACAGCAAAGAAGAAGAGAAAAGGAAGAGCCATGGGGAGAGAGAGAGAGAAGAAAATCAAAGGAATAATTGGGTCTTTTCTCACTCAAACATATTTGCAATAAAGGCTTTCAAGCTATCAGATTAAATTTAGAATGCAATAAGCTCTTAGTGCAATTTTGTTTCCTCTTGAGGGCCCTAGATGTGATTTTTCCTTATTTTTATCCTTGTAATTGATTATCACTTTCAGTTTTGAAGACAAAAGAGTGGAAACACTTTAGGCTAATTTTTTTTCAATTTTCAAATAACATAATTTTAATGTTTTAAATATTACAATTTAAAACATAAAAAAATTTAGCATAGAATTTTTTAAGCTACAAAAATATAATTTCATATTTAGTTATCATAATAGTTAATCTAATATATACTTCCTTCTATCTCTATTATAAGGCATCTTATAGAGCGATTTTTTTTTGTCTTTACTATAAAAAACATATAGGGTCATTTATTATCATTTTCTAATTTTATTCTTGTTGTCATAATTCAATTTTATAGCTCTCTTATTTTTATTTTTAATAAGGGTAAAGTTAAAAACATTTCATTTTAAAACATATTTAATTAGTTAACTGTCACTTATTGATTTAAAAAAATTATTAAAAATGTCTTATAATAAAAATAGAAAGAAGTATAGTTTATCAAAAGAAAAAAGAGAAAAGGAAGAAGCGTAAATGTACCCTGTATATTTACTTTTGTTACGAGAGAAGGTTTTCTTTAATAAAATAATTATTTAAAGTGACATGAGACTGTATAATTAGGATTTTTCAGAATTGGTGCATGGTGATTGGATGGTGTGTGGTTGAGCTGGCGAGGTCTCTCAAAATTTTTCCCTCTA